AAAACTAGCTCTCCTAAAAAATCCCCTTGAGAATTTCAATTTTTACCATTTGCAATGACAGTGACAGAGAGACATTCCCAATCTCGTGTGGCCCTGTTGCTACCCTACAACTGAGATAAGATAAAAAAATTAAAATATATTACCTATCACTGTCATTATCTAATCAAAATAAATAAATATATATATCTAATTTAAAACCCCGAGACTCTTTACTGTATCTAAGCTGAGACGTCTCCCTGACATTCAGTGCAGACCAACATAATGATACTTTTTATGTGAGGTTATTTTCGCTTCTTTTCGTATATCTTTTCAACATCAAAGAAAATCAGAATTGAATACAAACCACAAATTTCGTCTGCTTCTTCAGACTCTTCACTGTTCAAGAAAATAACTCGGCCATAATTATTATGCCCATTTGCAAAAAGGACATAAAGGGCGCTTTCACGCCGACCATTTTTTTTTTTTTTGAAATAGTTAAAAAAAAGTAGTCATCTTTAATTTTTATTGAGTCCTCAACTCCTGAATTTTAGCGCCTAATCGCGATTTTTTCAGTTAAAATACTTGGTTAAGATGTTTTAAAATAAAAATAATTATTATTAATTATTTAAATAAATTAATAATTATCTTATTTCATTAAAAATAAAAAATTATAAATTTAAATAATATAATATATAAATAAAATAAAAAAACAAAAAATAATTATTTTTTATTATATACTCAATATTAAAAAAATAATCATTGAAAGAAAATTCGAACGAAACTAAACAATGGAGTACGGAAGAAAGATACCCAAAGTGCCAGGGAATTCATATATATATATGTATATGTTAACAAGTTTACAATTTTAAGGGTGAAAAAATTTAATTTCAATCTTCGGATTGAAAGACACATTTTATTGGGTAGGTCGTGAGACCTAGATGTCAAGGAATTCAAATTATATATTTTTTTAAACTAGAGAATTTGATATGAGCAAGTAATTAATTTCATCAAGAGGCATGCCTATGTTTTTAGGTTAAAAATAAATAAATTTGCAAGTAGTAATATTTGGGATGGAACATATGCTTACTTAGTCATAACATTAAATTTGTATACGCAACTGAAATTGAGTTCTTGGAGCAGCCCATTAGGGGAGCGTAATTAAAGCCGTGCAACTTAAAGTCAACTAGCCGTCCTACTCTACTATGCAGGGGATTTTGTGTAATTGTTGACAAATTTTTTCACATTTTTTCAAAAAAGATGGATTTCACCTTTATATATATATAATTAAAACAATGGATTCTATTATTTGATATAAGTTTTATTGATTTATTAATTTGAAATTTAAAAACATAATATAATATGATTAATTACAAATTTAAATTAAAATTTTAATATGGTGAACTTTGAATTTCACATAAGTGGCCTATTCTAAAAGAGTTTTTGTTATATAATATTTAAATTAAATTTAAATGAGATTTTTTAAAAAATTTTATCTTTTCAATAAAGTAATAATTTTAATTGGATTTTTTTTAGTTTTTGGCTATTAATAAAAAAAATGAATAATCATCATTTTAATTTAAAGAAAAAAAATTAAAATCTCCAAATAAAATCACAATTTAAAATCAAATTCAAAAAAAGAAAAGATTAAAATCAGCTAATAAATAGAAGAATTATCTAAACATTAATGAATTTTAGTTATTTTCCAATTTTTAGGTATTAATGCATTTTGGGTTTAGTAAATGGCAACAAAATTACCAACGAGGGGTTGGATCAAGTGGCAAGCGGCTTGTTCCAGCTTAAGCAAAATCTCGAGTTCGAGACCTTGTGTACGCAGCAATCTTCGTTGGGAGACCCACCCACCATTCTGGTGCGCCACAACTGGTCGAGTCCGGAGTAGTCGGGGCAAAGCCCCGGATACCGGATGGGGAACCAAAAAAAAAAAAATGGCAACAAAATTTAATCAAGTATATAAGTTCTATTGATTTATTAATTTAAATTTTAAAAAGATAATATAATAAGATTAATTACAAATTTAAATTAAAAATTTAATAAGGTGAAGTGTGAATTTAAAATAAATGACCTAATTTAAAAGAGTTTTAATTATATAAGTTTTAAATTAGATATAACTAGGATTTTTTAATTTTATTTATCTTACAGATAAAGTAATAACTTTAATTTAAATTTATTTAGTTTTCAGTTTTTAACTACCAATAAAAAGTAATGCATGTTCAATTGTTCACTATTCTAATTAAAAAAAAAAACTTATTGAAACCTTCAAATAAAAGTAAATTTAAAAAATAAAAAAATAAGATCAATTGATAAATAAAAGCGTTACATACAGTAAATAAATACTAATAAAAATGTAATTCTGTTTTAATTTTTAGGCCCTAATATATTTTAAGCTTTAATAACAATAGAATTTAATAAATAGTATTGATTAATGCATAATTAGTTGCATTACCTATGTTAAAAACTAGACGGAACCAACGATTTATTGATTCAAATTGAAAGTGTTTAATTTTTTTTAAATAAAATTTTAAATTAAATTTAAGTTTTATAAATAAATAAACAGGTGCAAAGAAAACTTTCTCTTTTTAAGGATTTGATGCGATTTAATTTCAAATTAATTAAAATTTAATATAATTTTTAAATACCTAAAGTTAGTAAAAAAAAAAAAAAACCTGTTAGAACAATTGAGAAGTCTGCCTAAAAAGGTAAAGAAAGGAGAGAAAAAAAGGTCTAAGAGTTCGTGAATTTATACTCCAAAGTTTAAACTGAAAAATCAAAAT